TTAACGCACTTTTTTATTAGTGCGTCTTCAGTAGCATATCGAAAAATCATGATTATATGTATCGCATATCGCATGCATCCCTATGGCGAAAAATCGGAACATATAAATTGCGTGCGAAAACAACTCACTTCTCTGAGAGACGTCTACGTCCTACGGACTTTTCCCAGAAGACGTCTCAGAGATTCGTGTATATTATTTTATAAATGTATAAATTTGGTCTGTTTCCTGTTCCTGCACTAGACTGAACTAGAACTTTCTTTCTCGCTTTCTATAAATATCAAACATATACCCACATATACCTATCTCACTTTAAGTTCTAAAAATGTACACTAGTTCAGCTACAGAAAACAGACCTATTATTACAATTTTTTATATTTTTTATCTACAAGAAAATTACGTGCATAAAAGCAAAAAAGACGAGTGATCAAGAAATTTACAAAATAATGTGCACAAATTAATTGAATTGATATCTAATAATTTGTAGTATAATAGTCATAATTACTTTCTCCTGTGACGATCACAGCTAATTCTTTTCTTTTTTTCCTTATTTTATGCATGAATCAATTATAAATTTTATACAATTATAGTATGTGCGATAGTACAAAATATACAATAGTGTGTAATCGTATATGCTTTTTTCAGATATTCATTATTTTCTCAATGAAACTGGTGCAGAACATTTCTCGGGTAAAGGAAGAAATACAATATAGTTAGTAAAATATTGTACTGGTGAGTAAGATAAAAAAAAATTTATTTCTTCTTGAATTATCTATAAGAAAGATTGTATACAATAGCACACACACATTTAAAATTATTTATTTTAAATACTTAATAAATATTTTATGTACACACTAAAATATAAAAATATTGAACTATAAGAATAACTATAAAAATCTAAGAATATTTATTAAAGCTAAATATTTTATCGCAATGACAAGTCAGTTAGACAAATTAGTTAAAAATCTGTGCTACAGCCTTAAGAACGATATAATGCTAGACTACATTCAGGAGAGATATAAAAATGAAATAAAGTAGGTTAAAGACTGCCGTTTTTATCGAAATTAACAAAAAAATTGTTAAAAGTAACAAGTTGAGAGATATTGAGATTAGAGAGCATGAAAAAAAGAGAATACATCAATGTCGGCGCCAACTCAAGACGCCAAGGTGCCGAAATTCATCAACTTTGTGATAGGTGGCATGTCGGGGTAAAAAGATTCATATTATAATTGTCCTTCATAATAAAACCGTTACTTTTTTACTCGCGAGAGGCAAATATGAAAAACTATTTTCGCTTGAAAATCATGATAATTTTATTCCGTTCGACAGAGTAATAGCTCAGATCGTGACGCATCCTATGGATGTTATTAAAATACGCATGCAAGTGTCGCAGGATTCTTTACGTGTCGCAGCACTCCGTACGCTTTGCACGAACGGAGTTTGCGGTTTTTACGCGGGACTGAGCGCGGCTCTTCTTCGTCAATTGACCTATACCACCAGCCGGCTTGGAATCTATACCACGTTGCTAGATATCGGGGAGTAATATCAGTTATTTCGTTCAATCATTGCAAAGATTAATTATAAAAATAATAGTTAATAAATTAATTATAATCTGTAGAGTTAAGTCTTAAATATCACGCATATTTGGCGTTCAGTATCAAATTAGACAGATGAGTTATAAAAATATCTTATTCTAAATTCTTTGTCTTCAGACAACATTTCGGTTATTTAAATTATGTTACGATGATAAGTCTCGGGATGATAGCTGGTGTGATGGGTTCTTTCATCGGCACTCCCACGGATCTGGTATTAATTCGTATGGTGGCAGACGTGAATTTGCCACCAGGTATTTCTATTTTTTTTCAACCTAAATTTATTTCTCAGATTGATTTGTAAAGGAAGTTATTCTTTATAAATGTGTTGCGTACACGAGAATTAATATATTTATATCAGAAAAACGAAGAAAATATAGAAATGCCGTTAGTGGTATCTTTAACATATGGAAAACCGAAGGATTTTTTGGATTATGGAGAGGAGCGATACCCACGATGGGTAGGGCAGCGATTGTAAATGGAGCACAATTAGGTACATATACAAGAGCGAAGAAGTTGCTGCAAGACACAGGTTATTTAAATTTGCAACATGTTTTATAAGGGGATTACTTTACGTAAAAAAAAGTATAATAAATATAAGAGAAAATTCTAATTAATAAGAGTATAATAGAAAAACTGTAACCAGCAATCCATTTTAAATGATTATTTAAAATATGACAGGATATATTCAAAATGATATACCACTTCAAATTACCGCTGCCATGATGTCTAGTGTCATTACGTGTTTTGCTTCGATTCCGATCGACGTAGCTAAAACTAGGTAAAGCAGCAAGAATCAAAGATAAAATTGAGATCTTAAGATACACACCCTTGTAGGATTCAAAACTGGAGGCAACCTACGAAACCACCTGGTGTTCTAGCTATGATCGTTAATATTGCTAAAAAGGAAGGCATGATGTTGTTATGGCGTGGTTTTCTTCCGTATTATTCTAGAGCAGCACCCAATACAGTAATTACTATGGTATGCGTTGATCAACTTCATCAAATGTACTCGAACTTTTGCCCAATGTCGTAATAAAATTTACCTATGTCGGTGTTAATTGATTTTTCTTTAATTGTACTTTACGACTTATAATTGGAATAAAATTTAAGATTGAAATATTATAATGATAATTTTAAACCAGTAAGAATGTTATCTAAAAAGTATAGAAGTTTATCTGGAATTTTATGATATTAAAGAACGCAATTTTTTATTTGGATCATTTTTTAAATTATTTATTGACATATGTTCTATATAAACGCATCAGTTGTTCGTTGATAACGAGAGTCAGTACCGTGTGTGGACCGATTCTGCAGTAAGTTGGCCAAAAACCTTTCCAAAGAGCCCCCATTCCCTCATTTTTCGCTATCGACATCATAACTGAGATCATACCTGGAGGTTTCTCAGTGCTTTTCATATTTTGTATTCTATAGAACAGTAAAAATTTTATTAATTTCTTTAAGGACTAAATTTTTCAAGGAGTTTTAAGTATTAAAATCGTTGATAAAACCTTGTTTTTGTAATATCAAAAGGCATGGAGTTAAAAGCAGTGACAAATCCCGATACCATTGACGCACCAAAGTGCAAACCTATGCCTTCTTTAACATTCACTGTAAGAGGAACAACTTTTTAAAAAATAAAAAGATTTAAGAGATTTAGATACAAAAATATTATTATTTGATAAATAAAGTATTGTTGATTTTAAAATTATATTTTTATATTTTTGGAGATTAACTTAATTTTTGGAATGTATTTGATTTATATTTAAGAAATTGAATTATCGAAATAAATTTTTAAAAAGTGATATAAAGAAACTGTTGTTTAACCATACATCGTGATGAAATTAAATGTTTCACTTGGCTGTAAGTAGCCAATTGTGATACGTTAACGACAACAGCTCTTCCTATCGTGGCTACACTTCCTCTCCAGAGAGTGAATATTCCTTCTTCTCTGGCAATTCTGACAAAAGCATCGAGCACGTTTTTGTAATTTCTTCGTTGCTCTAAGCAGAGAAAACATTAGCTAAATTAGCTACATTTATCCCAACAAATGTTTCTTTTGACACTGATGAAAATCATCACTAATTAGCTTGTACAAAAATTTATCATTACCCACTGGTAATCTGCCATCTGTTGTCATTCTCACAAGAGCTACGTCGGCTGGTGTTCCAACGAAAGCTCCCACGGCACCAGCAGTCCCAGCCATAAATGCCAGAACCGCGAAACTGGGGCGACTGATGTATCTTTGTCTAAAATACAATCAGTTTTTTAAAATTTTTTTGCATCCATATGATGACTTAATTATAATTTAATTACTTTATTTAATTATTTAATGGATGTAACTGAGTCATTGATTTCATTCCAATTTTATTCAGACTTTCTTCTAATATTTTTATATTGCCTAGAAACATTCTTGATCCTTCTTTTGAAATTTTTTAAACTTTATTGTAGTTCCTGCTATCAGATTACCTCCAAAAATCTTGCATTTGATTATAAATCCCGAGTCGGACAGTCGTGTAAGTCGCTTGTCTGACAAGACCGGCTGTTAAACCGCTGTAAAATGTAGTAATACCCTCTTTGCTGTATATGGTGCTAATTACATTTAAAATCGATGCTTTCCCTTTGTGCATTTGCATCCTATTTTTGATCACGTCCATCGGGTGAACCACGCAAGTGCCTGCCATTCTGAGATACAAACGAATATTTGAAACACTATTTTAATTCAACGCTTTGTAAAATATTACCCGGAAAGACCACCCAGCAAAAAATTGATTATTGGTGGTATAGGTTGTTTCTTCTTTTCCTTCGGTTCTTCTTCTTTTTTCGACATTTTTAACAGCTTAAGTTGACGAAATAAATTTTTACAAATAAATTAATGAATGAATAGCTTCTATTTCTCACAATGATATAAAGTATATTTGAAGCCTTTCAAGTCGAAACATATGTGCCATGTCATTGTCAAATGTCATTGTCTATGGTATAAACCAATATTAACCTATTGCACATTAAAATAAAACGCGACTGACAACGCTTGACAGCACGGCGGTAAAATATCGATTTTTTAAAATGATTTATAAAAATTACTGGCGAATAAAGTGCCAACTTTCCTTTGCTGCTTGTTATTATTTGCATTTATTACTTTATATAGGTAAACAAAGAATTTAGGTAAAAAAAAAGATATAATAAATTGTCATTTTAAGATAGATATTTGGTACAAGGATTTGATACATTGTGTGTTACTTATGAAAAAAATCATATTTTATAATTATTTGTATAATAAATTAGTTTGTATTAAATGTATGTTATAATATTTATTGAAATAATGTCATATGGTGATATAGGTTTATATTAATTTATATATTCTGTTAATTGAATGCATACATGATACGAAACGTGTTTCTGTGAAACCTGCTTTAGACAACTTATTTAATTGCTGCGAGAAAGGACTGCATGAAAGTAGTATAATATGTTTTGATGTATAACGAGTTACTACAGTAAGCCGTGGGAATGCTCCAACTTTCACAAGTTAGTGAATTCTTTGTTCACAAATTGCTGGTAAATGTCGTCTTGACGTGGACAACTTATTTTGTTTCTACCGATTCCGATTTTTGCGTGAGTCGAAACATGTGAGACTTGACAGTATGATGCAAAAATGACTCGGGTGACATCTTGAATGATTGGACAAATGTGTAGTAATTGCGGTCGGACGATTTACAAATTAACACTGTTTATTGCAATGACAGTCACTGTAAATAATATATTTGATCTGCCGCAACAGGTTTCGGGCAACTGCATCGGCGTTGAGCTCTGTATTTTCTCTTCGGCCGCTTCTCTTTGACGGTTGACTCTTCGAGTTTTTTCTTTGGCGCTAATCCCATCTCTTTTTTAATCTCCTATAAACAGAGAGACGAGTGTTTAAAATTGTTTGCGATTTTATTAATCTTAAAACTTCCTACTACAAGTGTTTAAATGTACTCCTATGGCTTTGACGATCGGATAAAGCGGTCTCACGCCCTTCGATTCTTCTAAAACTTCGTCGCCATAAAGCAAAATCCTTTGATTAGTTTTCTCGATTGCGGCTTTTGTCGCTTCAACTTCAAGAACTTCCTTTTCGCGTTCTTTGTCCAATTGTTTCTCCTCCTAATGATTAATATCAAATTTTTAACAATTTTAAACGTAACATGCATTTACACGCAATAGTGCTCTTATCTTTATAAATGGAATCCATACAAAAAGAAATAATTAATAAAAAAATTATTATTCTCGAAAAATGTTTGCACCTGATTATTAAAAAATTTACGTTAATAAAACATACTCTTACAATATCCTTCCGTAATTCGTTGCCATATTTCAATTTTTGTTGCCATTGTCGTTTACGTTCTTCCAAATCGGTCTGTTTGTCATACTCATCTCTCTTAAATCTCTGCATCATCTCCCAAGCTCTCAGGTCCTTCTCCTCCTGTCTTTGCTTGGTCTTTATCGCCGCGTCATGAAGCCTGTATTCTTCCATGAGAGCGCGCATCTTCTCTTCTCGTTCTTTTTGTGCTTTTCGTTTTTCCGCCTCGGTTGCTTCTTTTTCTTCAACAGCTTTTTTCAAGATTTCTCGCTCTTTAACATCGCGAATTTCCTCAGTTGAAACGTATTGCTCCGCTAAAATAAGATTCGTTAATAGGTGGATCCAATTTAGTCGCTTGAATTCTGAATATACAATTTATGTTTCGGAAAGCAATCGAACCTATAATCTGCATCTGACGTGCTTTTTCTTCCTTCTTCTTCAACGCTAATGATTTTTGAATTTTCTGTATTCGATCTTTAGCTTCCCGACAGACTTCTAGCGCTCGATCCTCTAATTCTTCATTGTGCTGTAATTCTAGTTCGACTTGTTTTTTTTCCTCTATCGCTTTCTTGAAAAATTGCTGTAGTCTCTTCTTTTTATTCAATATCTATGTATATAAATGTAGAATATGCGTTAAAATCTTTTGGAATAAAAAATATCGTTTGGCAATTATCAGATGCTTACATCTTGCATCTCTTTCTCTTTCATGAGTTGCATATCTTGGGTCATGTTTGCTTGATCCTGTTTTTCAGCTTCTAATTCTTCCGTTACTTTTAGCTTATTGTCCCTTTCGTTTTCTTCGATCCTGATTCATAATTAATCTGATAATACATTTGTTCAATTTGTATAAAATATTAATTCTATGAATTTATATTAAAAAGTATTAATATTCCTACAAAGATTTAGAATTATTCTTTTACTACGTCTTAAAAAATTAAATTTTTATTAAAATTAGTATTTACTGTTTTTTCAAAGCAGTCCTGTAATCTTTCTTTTTTTTCGTCCGTTTTTCTACCTCTTGTTTTTTCTGCTCCTCGTATTTTGCAACGTCTGTTTTAATGGAATTAGCATATTTTTCATCTTGTTCTTCGTCCATTACTCTAATAGTCTTTTGCAACGCTACTTGGGCATCCAGCTCCCTAAGACACTAATATAAATCATGGTAGACTATTTTGAGTTTAATTAACGGTGAGTCTGGCTTAGAAATTACACGAACACTCCTTTCGCGAGAAAGTACCTCAGAGACGAGAAGAGCACGATTAATCTGTCGGCACAAAGGTCTCTTTTGCTGAAGCAATCTCCTTGCTTGCTGCACCACTTCTGCACGCTCCACCACCTTTTTCTCTGCCATTTCCTTCACGAACGCTTTCCTCTCTTCCTCAGTTTTTTGCTTCTTTGACAATAACTCTTCTCTCTGTCTCGCCTTAATATTCTATCATCAAACCAATTTTGTTTTAACGATACTATCAATCGTTGCTATACAAAATAAAATTATGAATAAATTTTTTTTAAATTTTGCAAATGCCTGTCTACAAATGTACTTTTACTTTTTCCAAAATCTTGTAATAAATGTTAATAGCAAAGATTTAAAATAGGTATACTTTTATATATCTCTGTGCTTTAAAGAAGTAATATATATTTCAAAATTTAGGAAGTATTGTTTCATGTGTAATCGCAATAATATTGAATCGAGATTATATAGATAAAACATACTTCTATTGTGCTGTCCCATGCTTTACTTTTTTCATAAGTTGCTTTTTTTAATATTGCAATTTTTGCAGCTTCCTTTTCTTGTTGTGCCGCTATTCTATCGTCTTCCGTAGTATAATCCACGAAACGCTGAAAGGTATCCTTTGTCACTACTAACGCTCGAGTTCTTTCAGACACCTGCAAAAGCGCGGTTAAATTTTCAGTAATATTAGACACTGAAGAAATTCAGTCTTTATGAGCTAAACGTGTTTGAGAGTGAGAATAAATAAAAACACTCACTTTGGTATTCTCGAGCGTCTGGCCGGATTTTAAAAGATACGTCGTGCGCATTTCTGGTTGATGTATTTTTTTCAGCACCATTTTAGAGAGGAAAAATTATAATTAGTTGGTACAAAGCAAAGTTGTTCAATATGAGTAGCTTAAATTTCTGTCGAAAAGGTGCAATGAATGCAGACTATCTTCACAACACGAATGGTTGACATAGAAACCAAATAAAAGCAATCGATGCGGCTTAATAAAAGAGAACCAAATAAAATCTTACCTAAAATCAATATATACTTCTAGTGTGTGCATGAAAAATATTTTTTTATATCAATATTTAATATTCTTTATTAACACTTATATTTTATTATTCGTGAAAAGATTCGAACTAATTATATATACAGTAATTTATAAATCTAATTGTAAGTAATCTAATTTCTTTAATGACAATACTTATTTATTTATTCATATATTTTGACTTGACCGCTCTTATACATTTATGTCTATAGAATATAATATTACTTTAGATATTTTATAATCTGTAGTTGCTTTTCATTTATATCAAGATTTAGATACTTAATTCTCATTTGTGACGTCATAATTATATTGAATGTACATTTTACTTTATATTCTGACAAGTGAGATTGAAATGATAAGTTTTTATCTATAAGCTCGAGATATTATGCTTTACTTAAATTGTGCTTAAATTTATTTATATATATATAAAATAATTACAATAAAATATTTAATTTCAGATCGATCAATATCACTTGTGTGAAAATGGAAATAAGCAACTTATGTTTTCTCTATGTATTTATATATATCCATTATTATTTTTCTGTTTATCTTTATACATATATCAAAAATATTACATACGTATTTATTATTGATAACGATGTAGATAACGTTGTCATGATAATGCGCGCGTAAAGTATATTATTATTTATCTTACTAATTTTTCAAAATTGTGATTATATCAAATACTCTCAGATTTTTCTAAGATTTTCCACCAATGTAAGATTAACTTATTAATCTTGATTCAATTTATTTCTTTATCTTTTTCTAATTCTAAGATTTCTATAATTCTAAGAAAATAAGGAGAAAATAAAGAGTAAATTGAATTACTGAACCGAGAATAAAGTTAATACATCTTACATTAGTAGATCTGGGGCTCTATTTCCACCAGTGTAGATTAACTTTAATTTTTTTAAACTAATAATTTATTCTTTACCTTTCTTTTTAATTCTTAGAGCTAGAAGAAGATGATTTAGATTAACTGAGATTAAAATTAAACTACACTAGTGGAAACGAGAGCGTGTAAGTCGTCTCACGCGAACTGCGGTCATTTATCATCCGAGCGAAACCTTTTTCCTTTTTCCCATCGTCGTTCGTTACGATACCGACATTACCAACATCGCGTCGCGTAGCGATTCTTGAACTTGCCGCAAGATGACGGCGAAGCGTGATCGTGCACCTGTGGTGACAGCACGTGCTACAGCTGAGTGGCGGTTCGGTTATCGAGAAAGTGAGTATAATATCGTAGTGGTCGAGTGTTTTTTCCGCTTTTCCTCGTGCGCCTGCGGTATCATCGACGCCGACAGCGTCCCGAGGGACGTCTGGAGTACGTTTGGACGTGTGCATACCGGCGAGTTTGCATCGCGATGCGAAGCTGTTTACGTGACGCCGACACGTGAATCGGAGCCGATGTTCCGGCCGTAATATAAAATTCCTCAGGATCAGTGCGTGACCTTGGCTGCGTATCCTTGTGATAACGGACGTTAAGCAGCATTGGGACGCGTTCCGTGCGAGACGTTGCGACACGAGTTCCAGCGCGCGCGAATTCGCGAATTAATGGCGGCGATCGAGTGTCGGTCCGACATCGTCAGCATGCATTCGTTCTCGGCGACGCTAACCTAAATCGCATATGGCGATAAATCGTCTCGAAACGACGGGAACATCGGTCGTGTTCGCGTAGGTAGTGACAGCGACGCGACGACATGGCTATCGTTGACGCAGAACGATCGGTGATCCCGTTTTCTCGTGAATTCCGAGCGGGATTAGCGCGACGGATTTTCACGCGACCGCTTCGTGTACCGTTCGGAATCGCCGTGGCGATTCCCGCTTCGCGCTCGGTCGGTTTGTTTTGTTTCCCGCGGCCCGCTCCCGGAGTACGCGCGCGAATTTTGGCGCGCGCGCGCAATGGCGTGTGGACATTCGGAGGTCGTTGCGCCCGAGGTGACGGAGCGAAATCGATAAAATATCAACGTCAGATTGCACTCGAATTACGCCAATGGCAATCGATAAAGTGCTCAAAACCATGGCGCCTTCGCAAGTGTATGCCTCCATTAGCTCGCAGACACGTATTGAAAGCTCGAGTCGGTCGAGAAAGAGTGCAATTGCATGTTCCGTTATCAGGTCGAATCACGCAAGTTCGAGACTTCCGTTGATACGAGTGGGATTGATCGCCGTATCGCACGGAAGTTTTGAATGCCATGATCGAATTTCAGACTCGCGATTGCGGTCCGATTTAAAAAGATAGTTTACGTTTCATATATGAGAGAAAAGTTCGTTTAAACTAAAGTTTGTTGTGTGAAAAAAAAATGTTATATCGGCAGCTTTGTTTTAATTGAACAATTTTGTTAACTTAATATAACACTATTAATGAAAAAAATACGTCATGCTCTCATTTTGATAAAATTGTATTCGTTTCATTAATAGCGTTAAATTAAATTACATACAATTATTTTTAATTCAAACCCGGCGTTGGTATAACATTTTTTTTTCAGTATGAGTAACTTGAAGTAAATAGAAATATTTTTGCGTGAGTTGTTTTATAGTAATGTTCTAAAATTTGTCTTAGTTATCTTCCTATAATCATTAAATATTATATGTTATTAGGTACTTGACTATTTTATATGAACACAATCATATATTTTGTTACTTGGCTGATTTTACATGAAGATAATTTAACGTAAATTTATATTTGACACCACTTTCAATATGATTATTTTTAATACTGGTTAAGTTATTTATATATTTGAAAAGATCATCTACGAATTAATTATGCAACATGTCGCGCGATTATTTTCTGTCTGTAGTCAGATTTAACATTTTATGATAAACTTGTTTTTGCATATAAATTTCGAAGGCCGATTTAAATTTAAAAGTCGCGAAACGTAGTTTAGTAGAGCGTGTCGCGAAACAATAGATTACATTCGATCCGATTAACTCTTTTGCACCGAAAAACTATTTATATCGTAGTATTGCCACGTGGCTAAAGTGAGGTCAATAGAATCAATTAAATACATTATAAATCCAAACGATATCGAGAAAGTGAAGCGTATACGCGATGTCGCATCTTCGCATCTGGTATATTTTCGTTTCGATCATAATTCACTAAAAAATTAAAAAATATGTAGAAGATAATACTTTTTCACCAAGAAATTGTGCTTGATCGCATTATGCCTGAGTGGCAAAGGATTAAATAATACGAGACTTGTACGGCGCGTAAATATTTGCACGAAATTACGTAAATTAGGGAAAAACCGCTGTACACTCTACAATTCTCAAACTATGTCTTCTATAACGTTGACTAATATTTTTGGCACGTGTTCTCAGGTAGAAGCTGTTGGCAGGGAAGGAATGAGCTGCAGGGATTCCCGAAAGCTGTATTTGAGTAAGTGCATTCTTAACATTTGAGTATCTTATTTGAGTAATCTAACTTGTCATTTAATTTTCTTTGAAATACCCATATTTAAATCGAGTATTTGTTTAATCTTAATTTTTAATTTAATTCTCCAAAATACTTATATATAAATTGAGTTTTCTTGAGTATAACATATCATCTTTTTTACGTTTTGCCTAAAGATTTACTTAGCCGATTAAATCGATCGTAAAAATGTCTCTCTAAATACAAAATATGTGTGATATCTTGAAACTTTATGACTCTCGAATTTAGCAAGTAAAGTAATGTATTTCATACATTTTTTCGTAATGTGTAGTAAATTTTAATTTAAATTGACAATATAATTTCGTTTTATGTTGCGTATATTAATAGAAAATTGATACGCCATTCGTAAAAGAAGAATAGACGATATATATTCTGTATTATTATCTTCAAAAATTTAAAGATCCTAAGATTTATCTTAATCTATACATATGTATACTATCGGGTGGGTTACACAAAATCACTTGAATACAATTGCTGATACGAAACATGTTTATTAAAAATCTATCATCTCTACGCCTACTACAGTAAATATCACAGGTACACGTTTCTCTATCACAAGATCTTCCGCTCGGTCATTTTTATACATACATTTGCGCCATGAAAGATACGAAATGGACGCACGCTTTGCGGAATCACCGTAATCGCCGCCTTGTAAAATTATTCATCATTCTTGTCCCACATCTGATGCTCTTGACCGGTAGTGAGACTTACATAATAACATTACGGTGAGAAAATAAAAAGAAAAAAACATCCTCGATAAAAGTATGAAATAAACAATAGAAAACATCTAACTGTCGAGTAAATTAAAGCTTCAGCCGCGCGCGGCCGCGAATAAAACTACGTATCGAGATCCCAGTGTTGTCCGACTCTTGCGGAACGTTATCGAGGTTGCTGATGGCAGAACGTTGTGGGAGACATAACATTCGCCTTGATACTTCCGCTTCGGTCCGACTGCCTTTGAGCAAGTGAAACTCCCCTTAAATCTAGGCGATCTTTGTGGGGTAGACTCTTCGCTCTTGTAGACTCCTCGCGATGTCCGTTCCATTCAGATCACAGAGAAATTGCAACACCGGCGTCGATAGTTTGTGAATCCTTCGGATTCGAGATCTTTTTTTCGCCAGTTTACTCAGAAACTTTGGCGAATTTGCCGTGTCAAGGCAGAGAAGAAGTTTACCAGGGCCGCCAGATGGGTTCGTTCGGCTTGGCCACCTGTAGAAGACCCTGATGGCTCTGGGGAACAGTGTCGATGTCAGTTCGCACCGGGGATGGCTGGCTGGACGCGGGCGTCAGTGGCATCGGATACTCGTCGGCGCTAAGCTCACTGGTGGGCGATGGAGAGGACTGTGGTGCAGTCACGTGGATGGTCAACGGGCTGGTCTTGTCCATGGAGTTGAGCTTGTGTCCGAGATGTGTCATCAGCTTAGTGCCAAGGGCAACGTCAACGCCAGGAGTAGCGGCTAAGCAGCGACTGACTTCGTTCGCACAGTGCGTGTAGCCGGCACGGAAGCGGTCAGCGTCGATCACCGGATTCGCCGAGAGACGTTGTTGACGCTGGAGCTTGTGCAGATGACGGACCGTCAACTCCAGAATATCCGCCTTCTCTAATTTCGCCACGTTCTCACCGTCGCCGGCCAACGCGGTCACCATCAGATCCTTTAACTCGTCCAAGCAGCGATTGATACGCGCTCGACGTTTGCGTTCCAGCATCGGCTTCATCACCTGCGAATCGAAACGAACGAATTGCTATAGATCGATATTGCACTCGACGACGAAGAGAGAAACTTTTTGAAAATATTATTTTATCTGAGGGAAAATAAAAACCAATTCGAATTTAATGTTGAAGAAAATAACAAAGTTGCAAGTTAACTCGAAGTTCACGTGACGATTAGAGTGATTGTTTGATTGAAATGTCAAGATGACACCTACCTTTCGGTACTGGTATGTCCTGGAGATTGGCTGCTCCTGCCCGTCGGCTATGATGATCTGCTCGTGCATCTGCATGATTAATCCTTTTTTTTCTTGCAGCACAATCAAAACTTCACTTGATAACTATATTGGCTTATCGCGAACGCAACCTTCTCGTGCTATCACACCGGTTCGCCGAACTCTAATCGTCGCTACGATTACGAGTCACTGCTGTTGGCGGAAGAAAACGTGCGTGTTTATCTGGATAACACGTTGGTCTCCAGCTCGACCTTCGAGTGAACACGAACAGAGCGTGATTGTAACCGTGATCGGGCGAGGCTTCGACTTATATAGGCAAGGGCCCCCATGTGGACGGGGTGAGGGGACGGGTACGGGGCCGCATAGTGGGGGACAGGCCTTCCGTGGGAACGGTCCGTAGAGGTTGGTTCCCAAGCAAGCACACCACCTGTAAGCGGCAGCTGCCAGACACGCGCCCACACCAAGCCATCGTCACCGTTCCTGCGTCCTTGTTGCACCTAGCCGTGGCGCAGAGTCGATGCTCTCTACCTCGGCTGATCGTCGACGAGTGGTCGTGCCATGGTATGCGCGGCTCGTAATCGTCGTTCTCCTTCTCTCTCTCTCTCTCTCTCTCTATCCATCTATCTTTCGCTCCTCTCGTTCTCTCCGCCAGAACGCCTTCTCTGTTTCTCTCTATTGCTTATTGGCGCGTATTTCTACGAGCGTTCATACGGAAGGACTAGATCTCGCGACCAACGTCCTCCTCTCCTTGCTTCAGGGTAAAATAAAGGAGTCATCTTTGTTCCACCTGTAAGGTGTAGCTTCTTCCATCGCAGCCGCAGCTTCCATGCTCGTGCTGGATCTTCTTATCGTGATTCCGCGTCCCCCTCTTCCTCGTAGTTTCTTTTCTCTCTGTCCCTCCTCGCTTCTGGTTCTCCCGCTTCGGCCGATCGAGGAGCGTGCTGGGCACAAGTCCGGCGCAACTCCGGCGCGTGATTGCAATTCCACTGGCTACACGATGTTAAATCGTGTGCCCTGTGTCTCTGTATGTGTGTACGTGCGCGTATTCCATAGCCGTCCGGTCCGGTCAACGCCGCGGAATGATATCGCGGCCATCGGTGGCGCGATTGATCGATCGTTTTACGCGTATTAACGTAGAGGGGAGAGGGAAATAGCGGACGAGCTCGATAAAGCTCGTTGGTGTCAAGCGGTATGACAAATCGATCGTTACAGCCGGTCGTGTAACAGAGCGAGACGCGATTAATTAATCTTGCTCCATCGCCGATTTTCTGTTTTCGTTTCCGAGTAGCACGCGTTCCGCACCGACGAGTGAATTCGAAGAACGAATTAGATCTTTAGTAATTCGTTTGTTACGCTTTATTTTACCGATTATTAGGAGTATAATAGTAATTATTTCCCGGCTGGGAAGTAATTATTTTTATGCTTCTTGTTCTATGAGATTAATTTTTTAAATTACTATAGAGATTGCTATTTTTTATCTAAAAGAGTTCTAATGTTTATTTGTTAAATATAATATGACATTGTTGCGTTTATTACTGGACTCAAGTCACTATCGTAGTTATTATTTAGGGATTAATATATCAAGTAATTACGAACAACGTCTATTTAAATAAAAATTAGTAACTTATTTTATTGTGTCTACTGTAAATGTGATTGATATCTCAAGTTCAGACGCTCACAAAGTACATAATTTTAGCAACGAAATAAGAGAATTACTGCTACAAGTATGAACGTCAAAAAATCAAGTCTCTTTGCTTTCGCTTCAACTTTATTGTTATTACGCTGTCCGTGAATTTCTCAGGCAGTGAAGCGTACCACGGTATTTCACTGAGGCCTCGATTACGCGTAATTATCGGGTACATGGATAATAATTACAAAGAGTTAAGGAGCAAAAAGTCAACGACGCGCGAGTATTTAAAACGTTGCTCTCACACAACCACAAGATGGGAGAAATCTCTTCGCGCTACCCGCGTAACCTATCGTCGACCGATAAAAATTGGCCGAAAAAGTAAATCTCCTTAACCCCTTCAAACCTGATTTTAATGGAATCGTGTTTAAAAAAAAAAATGGTTTTAAGTTCAATTCAAGGGCACTGTAATATGTACTATATATCTGTAATAATATATATGTACTTGCAGACTTCTCTTTTGTAAAGCAAAATTTAAACAAGACGGTCAGAAGCAATACTTGATATAATATGAAAAAGTTCTTTTCTTTCTAATTAATTTATTTTATACTGACATACCTAATGAATAACGTAATATTCTTTTTTTTTTCAATTTTCTATTATAACTTTTTCCACACACATTTGCATTATTACTTACATTTGATCTGAAATACTTATAATGTCAATAAAATTAAATAATTTCAACGAATGTCTTCAAATATAATGTACATCACAATGTATACAGAATTTGAAGACATCGATTTTGTGAGGACGTTCATAAAATTCGTCCCTCCCGCATTGGATCATCGCGCGAAACGAGTATTTTGGACGCGCGCGCGAGGACACGTTTCCACTTTGAGATACTAATTTCGGCAAGCCACTGGCTAAATTATATCCTATACGACCCTCTTTCTGCTCCTCCTATTTCTCTTCCTCCTACTGTATCTTGTGTTCGCTCCTTTTCTTCGCCCTTCGTCCGCTCGTTTTTCCTCTACATCCTCCGTCTTCCTATTCTCAACCAGCCACTTCGCTTATTTCGCGGTCAGAGCTTGGATACTTAAACGTCGTTCGCACCGAATAATTACGCACGCTCGTTTCAAACTTCTCCCGCCTTCACTTCGTGTTCCTGCGACCCAAGCAATCTCTCTTCTTCTTCCTTGTCCACTCCGTCATCATTTTGGTCTTTTTCTTTCTTTTGCTGCTACATCTCTTCTTGCTACTATGACTTTTACAAGGTATCCTGCTGCTGCTTCTTTTTTCTTTCTCTCTTTTGCTTCTTAATCTTCTAAACACTTTCCTCTTCCTATTCTATTTTCTTTCTCGATATACTCTCCTTCGCGTATCAGCCAATTGCACATGTCGTTAACGAGTGGTGGTACTTCGATAGAATCTGATCTGCAAGATATAACGCTTCTCGTAACTCGTTTCCTGTTTCGCTTGCTTCGCTACTTCGATCGGATCTCTCTTCGTCCTCGTGCGATCTCGTGGGACCTAATTAGCGTGATGTTACCAGGACTTAAGTGTCTGAAACACGGCATGATGTAGATGTAACCACGAAAGCTGGGTTCAGTGAAAGCGGACCGAATACAATTTCCGAGACGGAATTAGCTTGTGACGTACGAGGATACTCGGTCTTGATTTTCATATTCTTTTGTTGGGTGAATAATAAAAAATGTGAAAATTAAACAAGCTACGTTCAAATTTCTAATGTATCATTGCTTTGATAATGAGTATTTAAAACAATCAAAATTGAAGACTGACATTGTATTTTAATTACTCATTTATTATTAAACGAACTATTAAACTTATACATTCTTCTCTAATTACTCATTGTTAGAAAATATCAAGTTTTACATATTTAAAGGTACAACTGTATATACTGTGATATACTCGTATTCGGATATCTGAATCGTACGTGATTTCATGAAACATCGTGCAGACATGCAAAGTTACATCGAAACAGTTAGCATGTCGTAATCGGAAGTTTTGCTTAATGTTCCGTTGCTATACGTAGTGCTTGCACGTTCAAATTCACTTTCTACACGTATAATGCCTATTACGTCATTTGTCGAGATTGAAATCGCGGAATTTAATAACGAATTAGTCGAAAGTTGAATAGTAAGCGAGCCATTTCACTATCATTTTCACGATGCTATAAAATGTTGATGTTTCGTATCTCCTGTAATTGACAAATTTAAAAGATGAAAACATGTAGTGAGAAGGCTCGTTAAGTTTTTCAAACTAATAATAAAGAGAGAAAGGGTATATGAGCAAAAAAATTCGTTAAAACATTTAATTTTATTCTAATATATTCTAATATAGTCTATTTATTCTAATATAGTCTAAGGTAGGCTTCCACTACAATGCCTTACTGATGAGTCCAGTGGTGGAAGCCGGGACGAAACGCCAAAAATAACGTAATATTCTTCGCAATATATTAGAATAAAATTAAATGTTTTAACGAATTTGTTTGCTCGTATATAATATTTCCGACTTAAATACGTACATTTTTCAGCGAAATAAAGATGAATTAATTAATAATAAATTAATAATAAGTTAATTTAGTCAAATAAACCATTTTTCTCAGGGCATGCTATTTATTATATCTATGTTATATTTTTTAATACAGTAAGAGGGAAAACTATTTATTTTCAAACTTATGCTTCTAGAGATACAAGATATATGATTAATTGATCTTGCCATATAATTAAATAAAATTTTTTATTTTGTCAGCTATTCTAGTAATTACTTAATTAAATCCGCGTATATTTTTAAATCTGTGATTGGCTGTGCTTACATGACTAGCAATCATTAGATACATTTCAAAGAGCAATCTTACAATTAGTATAATGCTTTATGTTTCGACAATTTATCAATCATTTTCTTATTGTACGTTGTTTTTGCGAGATACTTATTCATATCTCAAGTGTGTCGACGAACAATATAGAATTGATTTCACTCCCGACGCCCTTCGCACGTGCTCAGCACGTGGCACGCAAAGCTAATGCAGTGAGCGGAAGGAAGGATTAACTATAGAAATCGATGAACAAATTATAAACGATTATTTTCAGATATTTTAAACTGCACAAAATATCGAAAAAACTATAGTATTATATTAGTAAGCTATAATTTATTGAGCAGACCATCTTTTTATTTATAACAGTAATCAATTTCTTATAAATTAACTTAGCCGTGTGATTTCTTAATTTGAAAAAGAGGATAAATTAAATGTTTTAGCACTTTGGAGTCTGTTGGAGTCTACGAGATGACATTTCATTTTTTAAAATATTCGATAATTATTTCGGACCTTGAAATCGCAGTAAAAGAAAAACATGTGATGAACTCTTTGACGTCAAAGCGAGTCTCATGTATGTTAATCATGGTTAATAATAACATGGTCGTGGCGGCAGCAGAATCGATTATTATTAGCACACGTGTTGCAATGGCGTTCCGACAAGTTCCCGTCGTTACGGCAACATGTAGCGCCGACAGATGCGGCCGCGCACGAATTTTCTCACACTCTTCGCG